CAAATCGGGTCAGAGTCGGGTTAGAGTCGGGTTTGAGTAGCGGGTTGGAATTGCGGCAGGGTTGAACATTACCAACTGCACAAAGTCAACTACCATATTCTGACATGTAAAGGAGAGCAATATTAATTTTACAATATCAAAATAACATACAAAAATTATTTCTCAGATTACAAGATCACCGACAAAAAGTAATAATAACCTCTTCTACACCGATTAATACAACACGTGATACACAATGCAATTTGGATTTGTTATGTTGGCAACACGAACTCGACTCTTGTCGTTTCCACCGAACCCAATTGAACGCTACCCTAAAATTTTGTAGGATAGAGTTCAACTAAACCTTTGGTGTTTCCACCGTAAAAGCGCTCATCCCAACCCGACTCTAACCCGACTCTGATCCGATTTGGACTCTCGATGGAAACGTAGTCATGCATTGTTATATATTTGTAAAAAATAAGTGATTAATTACCTTTCCCCATCAACGTATTTAATTTATTATTGTAGTATTTTAAAGTATTTGAGTATGTCTATCACGTGTGTTGCACTATTGTAATTTGCATATATTTTTTATTTTTCTGTTCTGTGATTAGAAGTTTATCGCTGAACGTAATGCGCTAGATGGCATTACTTAAATTTTTGTTTTGGCGATGAAATAAAGAATGTGAAATTGAATTTATATGGCAGAATTTGCTAATAATTATTGATTGTTAAATTAAATTTAACTATATTCTGTTTTGTTTTAAAAATATATATCCCATCAATTAAAAGTCTATATATATACGTAAATATAACGTACATAACCTTCATTATGATAGCGTTTTTTAAAACAAAAACATTTAGACAACATTTTTTGCCGGCTATGGTACTTATTATAGGAGGATCGTTTCTTCTTAAAGAATTCGCTAAAATAAGGTACCATTTTTAACATATTTTCTAGTTATGTAATGTTTCTTTAAATGACTGATTAAATTGGATAATTGTTTCAGATATAAATATAAGAAAGTTACCTCACATGATATACATAAAGAAGCTGAATTAATGGGAATTAAAATGTCAAAACCTCTTACTCTTGAAGAAGAATATGAAAAAACAATGAGTGTAAGTTTTTAAATTTTATATAAATATACAAATGTATTGTTTTACTATAAATCATTTTCTTGAGTCCACATTGAATGTATATAAAACTATAAAACATAAAATTATCAGTATTAGCCTTCAAATTAAATTAAATTAAATTTTTTTAACACATATTCAACCAATTGGTAAAACAATGAAAAGAAGTCAAAAAAGAAATAAAATATTTATGTTTTAAAGCTTATAAAAAAATACACAGATGCTTTTAAAATAAATTCATACTCTTATCTTAAATACATATAAAATTTCTAAAATATTACTATTTTTTCTTATATTTTTTACTTGTAATATTCACTGTAGTTAATATAATACAGTGAATTAATACATTTATTTTCATGAAGATATATTCTTTGTTGTTTATTTGAAAATCTATGTACAGATCTAATCACAAGTCTTTGAGGATTGAAATATAATTTATGTGATTAATATGTAATTGTTAAAATTTTCATTTTTTATATTGTTTACATTCAATATTATTTTAAAACTATATTAAAATAGCAGATACTAATTGTATAATAATGTATAAATTGTATTTTTTTTTTAGAAAATAGATCTTGATAATTGGGAAAATGTTCGAATACCAAGACCATGGGATGAAACACTTGAAGCGAAGAAATAGATACTGTACTTACAAAAATATTTACTTTAATTGTATTTTAAACAGTATATGTACATGTGTGTATAAAAATGTATAACTTATCTAGAATAAACAATTAATTTATAATAACTTATGGTATTTCCACACATACCTTCATGTAGTTATTTGATATCACTATTGTACGCAACAAGTGCAGCACAGCTTGCATACTTTAAATAGTTAATCATCACTCCTTTTTCATGCTAATTCTAAAAACATATATTTTTAAATAAAGAAAATTAATAAACTTTGAAATAACAAAAAGAAATTAATAATAGCTCAGAACTTACATGTTTTACTTACTTTTTTTTTCAAATCCAAACATACTTAGCAACTTTTGCTGTCTTTGGATTGGACCAAATTGTTGACTACGGCGTGTGGTATTTACAGTCTAAAAAATATTTTAATACAAATTAAATGTTTATACTAGAAGATACAATATTATATAACAATTATTTAAACTGCGATATAACAAATCACACGATTTAAAACAAAAGTCTAGTTTTGTCTTTTCATGAACTAATAATTAGACTGAAAATATTAAAAGGCGCAAAAAGTAAGTTACTTAAACTCCAAAATATACAAAATTTACAACGTATAATAATATTCCAAATCATTATTGAACTAAAGATATTTTGTAAAAACATGTTTGCCTGAACATAAGCAATCTAATAATAATCCTTACCGAACGAGAATTCGAGGTGCTTTTTCTTCTATCACATTTTACTTTTTTATCTGTTTGCATAGGCTGTTTTATATTAGAATACTTAAATAAACTATTATTGGAATCATTTATATCGCCTTGGTAAATTAGAAAATCAGAATCTGTATCGTGTTCTAATACTGTTGTTAATGAATTGTTTAAATTACATGATTCGCTTATACTATTTTTAGGTGTGATTGGTTCATTCATCGGTAAATTCAAACATGATGTATTTGAATTACAGTTGAAAGAATTATTTGAACACTTAGTATTTGTGCATTCATATGATGCGTTATCTTCTTCATCTATATCCATGTATGTATCAGTTTTCACTTCGTCAGTTATCATTAAAGTTTGCAACTTAATGTCATGTGCTTCTTTAATTTTATCTGATATATTTATATTTTCTTTTTCAAACGACATTCTATTTGAATTATTAGTTGGACATAGTACATTATCATCTGTTACAATGTTACTCTCCACTTCATTAGTTGGTTTAGCAAAAAATTTGCTTTCTGTAATAATTTCTTCATCTATAATTGTTCTTCTAACACGCATTATATTTCGTCCCTTTGTTCGACTTTTATGTTTGAACAATAAACTTGGAGAAGTTTTATTAGATGATGATTTTGCAAACACATTTGTTCTAGTCAAAATAGGAGATATTTCTTCCTCGCTAGGAATAGAAACATCAACTTCTAAATTATTTTTATTATCTTCTGCATCTTTATCACCATATATATCTAAAATTTCTTTCTGATTTAACTCTTTATAATCTGTAATAATTATTTATTTTTTAATATTTACTTTTGTATGTGTATACATGTAAATACGTGTAGAACAATTTCCATACCAGAATTATCGTCCTGTGTTACCAAACAAGCTTGCTTCAGCCGATTTGTATTAAGAATTGCTTTTTTACCGACAGTATTAGGCCAAGTTGTAAGTTCTTTGTTTTTGTCAGATTCTTGCATCTGATTTTGTGATAATTTATATAGTTTTGACCAAATGCTAATATGTTTCGAATGTGACGTCATGCTTTGCTTCCATGAATTATTAAACTTATTCTTTAGATTCTACAAAATTTTATCAATATTTTACAGTATTCTTTGTAATAGAATAATGTTCAACAAGTAACTTTTTTGTAATAATTGTATCGTTAGTATTTACCGTCGTTTTATCAGGATCAAAATTATGAAGCATTTTTAAAGTAAAGGGATCACAATTTCCATAAGCAAGTTGTAATGCAATATCAGGATTTGTCTCCACACCAGCATAATGTAATTGTTCCTCTGTCACATCAGGCATAGGCGGATTTAAGCGAACTTGTTTTCGTCTTAGAGGACAAAATACTAACTGGTGTTTAAATGTAATATCTGCTAATATAAATGCATCTCTGTATTCTTGCGTTACAACCACGGACTTCATATTCAAATAGGATCCTAATCTAGTCAAAGCCTACAGAAATAAATAATATTAGTTCTATGTATTTGTACATATACTTTATAATTATACATATAAATGTCAAAATATTTACTCTATGTATATTAGAGTCTGTATTAATCCTAATAAATTTCCTTGCTTTACCCAATCCAATACCAGGAAGAGATGGTAAATAATCACAGCCTGATAAAATGCACATATAGCGAAATTGATCCATGCTAAAGTGTTCGGAACTGACATCCATTGCAACATGTAATCGATCTTGATCAACAAGAATCCCACTGCCATTTACATCCATTTTGAAAAAAACCTATAACATATAATTTACATAATATATTCATAAAATTTATTTCCACTTTGAACTTATTTAATATTCTGTTTTACATTTACCTTTTTACAACCAAACAATATTAAATCACTATCTTCAGTGATAATAACATCAGCAATTCCACTTATATTAAGATATGCCAATTGTGCATCTGCTTCATATGGTGCTACAATACAATCAATATTCATTTTATGGCACTCTTTAATTAATTCTAATGCCATTTCATGTGTAACATCTATAGATCTTCTTAATAAATTTCTACCCTCTGCATGTTGTCCCATTTTTATTAGTTCTATAGCTTTGCGGCGGTTGTTCTCTCGAGCTCTTAAATTATATTGAAAAAGAAATTTAAAATTAAAAATGTATAATAATTGCACATATATTTAAATAACTAAATATCAAATTAATGTTTTTTCTCAGTAAACACAATATATGATGTAATAAACTTTTTTTATGTATATTAAAAATATAGAAATATTTATAAATAAAACTAAATAGTTTGAAAAGTCATTTTATTATATTTTATCTTAATATAAAAGTCTCCCTATTTCAAAAAAGTTATTTTTATCTTATCAATGTTATTATCTATTTATCATTGTACTATCTACAATAGAGACACTCATACTAATTAAGAATTTATTTAAAGCTTTCCTTTCTATCAAGTTTGAACTGAAAAGTCAACTATACATTGTGTTTTCTAAATGTGACCTTCATACTCCAAAAAAAAAAAAAAATATATATATATATATAATGAACTAATTTTTGCAAGTTTTTACATTATATATGAAAAGTTCAATGCATGCCAAAAAGGTTTATTTTATTAGATATTTTATTTTGTGGAAAAAAGGACTCAAACTTAGTTAATTGTTTAGTCATCAAAGTAGAATAAATCCTTAAAATTATTATATTAAATGAGCAAATATCTTAATTGAAAAATATGTAATATTACACGAATAACTTTCAAAATATTTTTAAAAACTTTTATAAATATTAAAATTATACATACTCTCGTCGTTTGGCTTCAGTTTGCGCTTTAGCTGGCAAATATCGTCCATCAAATACAAGAATTGGTTTTATTTTATGAGCAAGTAGCATATGTATATGTTTCATAGAGTAATGAATATATCTAAAATAAAATAACGATTATGCAAATAACTTCATTTAATGAATAATACAATCAAACAATAACTTTCTTACGCATTTGTCTGTTGTCCCATTGACAACTTATCAGCACAAGAAAATACACCTTTGTGTAACCAACAGTACGAATCAATAGCAACAGTACCACCAGCAAATTCATTGATATTCTTTCTCTGTGAACACTTTTCTAAAAATGGAAGTAATCCGGTAATACCCATTTTTAATATTAATACAAATATGTAATATCATCCGTATAACAAATGTCCGAACAGATGAGCGGTACTATTGTTACCATGATTCGCGTTACCGCCAAACTGTCAATCATTGATTATGGTAATACTAGATGTGACATTAATTTGTGCGCTGTTGTTAAAGAGTAGGGATGCTGTTATGTGAACACAACTTTATGACCATTTGAATGATAATGCTTAAAAGTGTTGGCGCCCAAAGCACAGTATACTGTGCCCAAAGGCTGTAAACTTTTCCTCTGTATTGATAACATAAATTTTACCCCAAAATTTCGTATAGTCTTGAATCGTCACAACTTATATATGTAATATGACAGTTTTTTACATTGAATTCCAGAAAGTTAAAATGTTTAAATTATAATTAGCTGCTAGAAATATAAGTAATTTAATAAGTAAGAATACGGTTAACTAATTGCAAGAATTAAAGAATAAATTTGAAATTTTTGAAATTCTTTTTAAATACGCTAAGTTATTTGTATGAATTAGTTTACTTACAAACTTTGCACTATAGCTGAATTTGAAATTGCTCGTAAATCATCAAGGAGATATAAGAATAAATTGTAGGGACGATTAAGCGGTTATTATTATATCAGTACACAAATTTTTAAAACATTGCGCGCTATTCCGTGCACTACTGGAAAAATATCATTGTCGCCACCTAGCCGTAAAGCGTGAAATTATTGAAACTGACAATTATGTTCCTTTGTAACATAAAACTTCTGCGGGCATAGAGAAATATTTTTACAGTGAGTCTAAAACATTATAACCGAAAATTTAAAAAATTTCGGAAAATCATCATAATCCGATTCTGGCTAAATTTTACAAAAAAGCTTTTTTTCAAAAGAAAACATCTGTAAGAGTAGATTTTTCAACTTTGACGGGTCGGTTTCCCGAAGAACGGCCAATAAATTGAAAAAATCAATATTTCATAAGGAAATATATTTTAAATTTATTTTCATTGTTTTCTGCTTTGTATCACTAGTTTCCGGTCAGTGATACTATTTTCGCGCGAAAATATAAATTTTAAAATACACGTAAAAATGAGGGTTTCAAAACGCTTTCAACTTGTTAAACTAATTACTTTACAATCGATTATTATCGTACATATATGATATCACTGTAATGTCTCTATTATAGATGTAAATTTCGATGTAAAATTTTAAGTATATAAGACACTAAATTACATTCTGTTGTTTCTAATATTGTGTCTAAAACGTGAAGTACACAGTATAAGAGTTTACTTTTGAAAGTAGCATATGCTTATGAGAATTTGATTAATCGATTTCGAAAATACCTTTTGTAAATTAAGCATTAGGTGGTAGAGACCTATTCCCTTGGTTTGCATTATTTCCAGGAAAGTTGGATTTGCATTTGAGTATACTTTATTCTGACATTTCTATGGTCACAAACAAAGAAACATACTGCCATCTGTCGTTTGTCATTGTGACTTAATAGATTTAAACTGTGTTTATTTTTTTTATTTTGAATCGCGTGATATGAATAGATTTAAAAATTCCTAAGGAACTGTCAAATCAAATTTAACTGTCAGAAGTACAGTTTCACAAATGTGTTTTGATATAGTATAACTGTTTTTCTATCGATGTAATCGCTTTAATCTTACATATACACGATGTGTATCTAGTACACATACATGTGTGTGTAAATATATAGAGTTAAATACAGACGTGTACGTATACACTGTGAAACGAACTTATAACTTAATGGTAGGTTATAATCATTTTACAATTTGAATATCTGGTTTAGTAGGAGACACTTGGTAACAACTTTTTATTACTTTAGAAAAACTATTTTCGTACTATTAACTACAATAAATTGTTTTAGTTTCTTAGTTAAAATTTTTATTATAAAAGTATAACATATTTGTTACGCAATCTAAAAATAATGAAAATTTAATATAATAATTTTCATATTAAACGATAGTTTATGCGTTATACTAATAAATAATACGTATATATTTACTTGTACTGTTATTGCAAATTACTAACCTGTGAATATATTTTTTAGGTTAGCATATGACGATACGTATTTAATAAATACGTATTAATCGTTCAAAATTTTGTTATTTGATTATGCTAATAGACTTTAATAACTATCATAATCAGTATTTCTTTAAATAATATCTATTGTACTGATGATAACAAATAAAGATATACATTTAAAAGTACTTCTGTTCACTTTCTTAGTTTCATTAAAAATATAAATTAGTTTTGATATGTTATATTTGTATATACATAATATTATATATATTCATAGTATAATATTTATATGTCATGTAAAGATTATTTCACTTTTATATTGACCATAATGTATTATATATTTGTATTTGTAGATTTATTACATTTTGAAACAATGAAAGGATGCCATGGATGAACACAACAATGATCCATATGAGCAACAGCTTTACGCTGTGTTTCAAAGTTGTTTAACAAAAGGAGAAACTGAACTACAAGAAGATAACTGGCTTAATTTATGCCATAAATTACATCTTACTGAGCAAAGTGATGAATTAAAATCATGCATTCAACAGCAAAAAAAAGAAAAGCAATCTATATCATTCCAAGAATTTAGAACTGCTTTGTTAATGTTATTAGGCAAAACTCAAGAAAAAGATGCTGTAACAGAATTGCAATGTGACTTAAGTTCACATGCTATAGATAATAAAAGAAGTAGTTTATTGCTACCTAGTAACTTTAAATCTAATGTAGATTTTTTAAATATAAAAGCAGGTAATTATTATACTATAACGAACTCCAAAAAGTCTTTTAATATAAAATAACAATGAAAAGTACTTATACCAATAATTTTCAGGTGTAACTGTAGATGAAAATAGATTAAAATGTTTATGGGAAAAAGTAAACATCTGTTTAAAAGAAAATGTAGATTCTGCTACAATATATTTTATATCTAATTGTTTAGGAATCCCAGCTCTTCCAAAACAGGTAATGTATTATTTTATAGTGTATATTTTTATTATATTTATTTATATTTGAAAGTTAGTTGCTTTATATATAATATTTTTTTACAGATTATACAGTGCATTTTTGAAAGGCTTGATCAGAATTGTGATGGGCTAATCAGTTTGGAAGAATTTTTTGTTATATTTCAAAGTAGAACACCCATAGAAGATCAGTTAACATTAGAATCCACCAAGAATAATGAATCCACAAAGGAATTAACCAAATTGAACATTAGAAAACGTAACTTCGATGTACATACATCTCGTAAAACTAGGTATTACCATTATAATTATTACATTTATAGTAGTGTTGCACAGGTGATCATGATTTTGCCTCTATCAAGTTTAACATTTAGAACTACATTTGTAGAATAGAGTTTGTGAAATGTGGTGTTACATATCTAAAGTGAACATATTTTTTTACTTCTGAACTGTAGACATTTTTTGCAACACTACTGTATTAAAAAATTGAGAATATATTTTGCTTTAAGCATTTGATGTATATTATGAGTGTCGTACTTTTTTGTTTATCGAATAACAGCTTTACAAGGAATAGTACTTTTCTGGATACGTGGAAACTTTCTAATATTGCAAATACGTCCTTGTTAACGGATGGAGGTCTTAAAACATCTGAAATTTCTTTAGCTGATTTGACAGCTACTCTGTGCGATGAATTGAAAAACTTCAATGAATCGTTAGATCATTCTACAATTCGCTCTCATATAATGTTATTACGAGATGTTCTTATACTATATCAAGAAGAACTCCATAATCTAAAGTATGTTACGCATGGTATAGGTAAATAATTCAAGTGGGAAAGATTTAATTAACTAATAAAAATATTGTTATATTTTTAGCCTCGAAATAGAAAATATTAGTGGTGAAAAGGAAAAGTTACGTACTGATATTATAGAAGCTAATGAGCGAGCAAATACTCTTGCTCAAGAAATTGATGAACAACATGCCCGTCAAGAAGAAATTGTACAAAATTTGCGAAAACAAATTGAGCAGCGGCACACTGAAACTCTCCAGGAACTTTCCAATCAACTTAGTTCTGAACGGGAGTTGAATGCTAGTGCTTTGAAATCGAAAGATGAACAAATACAAATGCTCCAGAAAGAAAATCATGACATAAGAAATAAGTTTGTAAATGGATTACAGGAGAATCAAGTTTTAGAAACTGAAAATGAAAATCTTCGTGATCAAATTGGAAAACTGAAACAATCAAATAACGAACTACTAACTCAGATAAAAATGTGGGCGGCAGAGCATGACGAGGTATTTCAATAATTTGTTTGGAAATAAAATATGAACATAATTCCTATATTTATAATAATGATTAACATTCGATTTTAGTCGCAAAACGTAGAAGTTAAACATCAACAAGAAGTTATATATTTAGTTGATCGTATTAAGCAGTTGCAAACAGAAGCTGTTCTTTTACGAGATCAAAATGATGAACTTACAGCAGAATTAGAAAGTCTAAAACTGTATGATAATCACACTAAAGATATAAGGTAATACAAGATATAAGATAATTACATAGTTTATAACATGTCATTATAATAAGAAAAAATTCATATTAATTTTATATTGTGACATTGTAGACAGGACAATTCACTTGGCAGTCAAACAGCAAAAAACGTACAGACGGATCAAACTGAAAATAGTAAGAACAGTTAAGAATAATTAAGTTTTTTTTTAATTTATACTCTCTTTATACAGAAATTAATACTCCAAATTTTTGCCTAGGTAAAGAAGCATTCACAGTAGATGAAGATGAGTTAGATGTATTTTTAAAACATTCCACCTCCGTAAGTAGAATTCAGTAATTTATAATATTTGGTTTAAAAATACAAAATAAACACTTGATATGCATTTTGTGCTGTTTATACAGATATCTTGTAATTCCAATGAAGGCGATAATATACAAAATTGTAAAAGGGTAGACTTGAAAAACTTTAAAGACATTGTTATAAAACAGTTAAAAAATGTTTTATTAAGTAACAACAAGTGCACTTTAGAGAACTGCTCACTTAGAAATGAAATATCTGAAATAGTTACAAGACTACAACCGAACGTAAGTTCCCCAGACAGTAAGGAAGTGGATTTTGTAAAAAGTATTGCATCAGAAATGGAAACCGAATGTGAAGAACGAACAACTGAATCGTTACGGGATTTCGTTGTTCCTAAACATAAAAACTCAATTCCTACCAAACGAGCAATAATATCCAACAATAATGATAATAATTACGATATTGATAATCTTAATAATCGGGATATAAAAGGTTCATCACAAAATAAAGTTTCAAGTCTCAGAGATTATCCTCCGCGGAAAGAAGAATGCATAAATGTGGATCATTCAAAGTCTAGTAAAGAAAAAGATATTCAGTGTACCAAAATATCAAATGAAAGTGGTGGAAAAATTAATTCAAGTTTAACAAGAAATGAATCATCTGAAGATGTTGCCTTTTTAAAATTGAAATTGCAAGAACTGGAAGCAGCACATGCAGCTGAAAAGAAGCAATTAACTGATCAGTGTGTAGAATTAGAACGAAGTCTTGAATTACTGAAAATAGAATATGAAGAATGTGAAGACTACTGGACGGTTAAATTAGAAGAAGAAAGGCAATTGTTTGAACAAGAACAAAAAATTAGTGATGAAAAGTTTTCAGAACTTATAGCTAAAATGGCAGAATATGAAGAATTAATTAGTCCAGTAGATAAAGTGAAAAGTGGACGTTTGTCTCCAATTGAGGAAAAGTTTAATTTAGAGCAGCAAGTAAGATACATTCTTGTATTTCATGTATTATTTATATGTATGTTTACGTTTTTATAAATAATTATCTTTCAATATAATATTAAATTATTTAGATTCATTAATTTATAATATATATTATTTTGCTTGTGCAGTATTTAGATCTCGAAGAAGAATTTGAAAAATGGAAAAGCCAGATGGAAGAAGAAGTTTCTCAAAAAGATAAAGAAATTCAAAGTCTACATGAAAAAGTAAAGTCTCTTGAACGACCGATAATGGTTGATATATCTGTACAAGTTACAAATGAATTTACGTTTTCATCTTTATTGCCACGATCGAATTACGTTCCTAGTGATTCATTTAATATTCGACCGTATAATGAATCATCTTCAAAATTATCTCAATGTACTGATAATATTCATAAGTTGCCTGAAGAATTTAAATGTAATAGGATTCTAGAATCTTCAAATTTATCAAATGACTTTAACCCGCGATTAACGAAAGAAGATATGGATGTTAGCAATTGTGATCCATGTAAAATGCATACACAATATTCTGTGAAAAGCATAAATACTCCATACAAAATTGAAAAGCCTGAATCGCAGTGGAAGTTAACAGATGTTGACGGAAAATTGGTAAAGGAAGAAAATATTTCTGACACGGAATATGATATAATGCAAAATACATTGAAATTACAAAATGTAAAAGTTCCAAACTGTCAGTGCATGAAAAATGATACACAAATGTGTTGTGTAAATGTAAATATATTGCGCAATTTAAGCATGAAGCTTCAAGCAGAAGTACGTAAGAAACATCAGCTTCAAGAAGGTTTAAAACAACAACAATATCATACTGAACATGTACTACAATGTAAGCATTTTAATTTTTTACACAAATTGTTATACGTATTAATTACATATATTCAATGTTTATCTTTCACTTAATGGAATTTATTACTCTGAAAGTGTGTGTACTAATTAAAATTTGCATTATGACATTAACTAACTAAGTCTCATAAATAATGATATTATTTCAGATATGATGTCTCAACATCAAGTAGAAGTATCAGAGTTACAATGTCTTCTTCGTAGTACCCAAGAAAGGCTTCAATTAGAATTTCAAACAAATGCAGAACAGGTATGTAGTTTTGAATTTTCATAAAATAAAATTTAAAAAATTTTTTTGATACATTAAGTTATATAATTCAAATATAATATCTACTGTTATTTTTTCCAGGCTGAATTATTAGCACGGACTGATATATTAGTTAAAGATTTATATATAGAAAATGCATGTTTAGCAGCTAATTTGAAACGTTTACAGCAGCATTATCAACTGCTGACAGGATTGAATACTGAATCTACTTCAATATGATATTGCAATCAAGACAGCTTTATGAATAATACTATGGTAATGTTACTACTAATATTTTAGTACTAGTATTTCAAAGGTAGATATTATTCCATCTAAACTATTACTTCTTTTCAATTCCAGTAGAGTCGAAAAACAGTTAATAAACAAAATAAGTATTTTGTATTATTAACGTACAGTTGTAGACATGCACATATATTTTTAATTTAATATTTCCACATCCGTGTTTGAACATAATGAACATCAAAAAAAATTGAACAAATATTTTTTTTTTAGTTTTGCTTTGCACGTATATATAACAGTTATTTAATTACAATGAAGTGAAATTTAACATAATTTATGATAAAGTTATGCAAATAATGTGTGAAACAGGGGATATTGTATGTTGTTCTCTATTTTGAATATAATGTATAGAGAAAAGAATAATGACATTATGATCAATCCTGAGAATTGAAATAATTTGAAATTACGTTTGCGTTTAATGCAAACACGACTAGGTTTAAATTTTTCTAAATTGAATTTAAAAGATTAGTCTGTTTAATACTGAATAATTGTGATTAATTTTATAAGTTATGGTTATACATGAATGATCCCAACGAATTTGAAATTGTATCGTTAGATGCATAATTTATAAAAGGCTAGAGAAAACGAGCAGTTTAATAATTGTGGTGGAAAAATACCCAAGCTAATTAGTACAAAAATTATATTATTATTCTTTACATGTTACTTTTTAAGTTCTTACATGTAAACAAATATTTCACAAGGGTTTACTTAGATTGTTTAGTATATACCAAAGAGAAAACTCCAATTGAAATTTTATAAAAAATCTTAAAACAGGAAAGGAAATAAAAATGAACTTTTGTTTTGTTACGAGATTAAATATACTAGAACCTTTTCTATAAATTTTATTTTGTGAAACTCATTAGCGGCGACTATAAAAGCCAATTTGCAATTGTTGATTTTGGAGTTGAAATGTCTTTAATATTTAGATGATTCCCTAATTTAGTGCTATAAAATTCATAGCTCTATTGTGTGTCATAAAAATCGGAGATATTAGAAATTTTTAGTTCACATTACATTGCTTAGTAATTACACGACGGCACACATAATATTTACCACGCATTAAATACCGAACCAAATACGATTAAGGGTATTGTATAATACACAATAAAATTTAGTTATATTTAACGATTGTTCATAATAATACATACTATATATGTATATATATAATGTGAACTTACCTACTTTGTATAATAATTATTGTAATTCAGAACTGTCAGATTTCAATTGTATCGCTGCCATATAAAGTATTTTGTACATGATATTTGTATAAATATTTGTACATTAATATATTGCAGCAATTTATGTTTTTCCTCATTTGCCTTAATGAACTTCTTAATGTATCCTCTTTAACTATATCTTTATATATAGAAGCTTCCTTTATTATCACTATTAAGTCATCTTGTTCTTCAATATCTTATGGGTTGTCACAATGGAATTGTTAAACGGCAATAATATACAATTTTATGCAATAATTAAGAATGTAAGAACTTGGTATAATTCATTCTGTTATTACAAAAAATTGTGTTTCCTACTGTAATTACTTGTATGTTAATATGTACAAAAAATATACTGACAAAAATATAACAAGGGAATAACTTAAATGTCAAATGTGTATTTTATTTTCTTTCTTTGTTACTAACAAATAATTCTAAATAATCTCTAGAAATATACAAATATTAAATCATCAAATTTCCAAATTATAAAGATTAATATTTTTTAATTTAGAAATTAAAAATCATAGAAATGTCATATTTTAAAATTTTTTAAATTCAGTAATGTTGAATTTTAGAAATGTAAAAATTTCAATTTTCATATTCATAAATTTTTAATTTGGAGATTTGATAATTTCAAAATTTAGAAATATAGGAATTTGAGACTTTCAAATTAAGAAATTTATTATTCGTCAGTGCTCAGATGCACGTCACGCGCATGCCGCATACTGCACCCATAGTTCAATGTATAAATTATAATGTCAAAGAAATAAAAGAAAATAATGTAAAAAGTTGTGCTTGCCGATACATACATAATTTTATAAATCGGTGTAAATTATAAATGATGTATAAAATTATGTCGAATAATATACATACCTGTTCATTGGTGTCCGTATAGAAACGAATGAACCGCGAATACGTGAACACGAAAGATATCATTTATTTATAATTTATGAGGACAAACAAGTAAATTTACATAGGAAGGACACTTTCAGTAAAACACATTTGCTAAATCGTTATCATGCTCAACATAAAAAAGGAAACTAATCGAAATCTAATCACCAGCCTTGCTGATATAGTCTTTCACCAAATGGCGTTACATTTAGTACGCCATAAAACAATCTAATTAGAATTATGAAATGTTTCGAAGCAAAAAGCATGATAATTATACGCATTTTTTTGTTGTTGCTAATGACACTAACACTAATCTTTTGTCGCTTCGTAGCGAAAAATAAAGGACTTGATGTGATCTTCGAATGGACACTAAACATTCCTACCTCTTTATCTCTGTTTTTCTCTCGCTCTTTCGCTCGTTCGTTCGCTCTTTCTCTCTCTCTCGCTCTCTCTTATGTTCATTTTATTTAGTTGATCGCTTTTCTTTGTCACTTTCAATTCCTCTATACGTAATCTATAATAGCGTCATAGTAAACTAGTAAGGTACAAACAGGAGTTTTATACACGGTTTCACGAGAGAGTACATTAAGCTCAGGTCTTATTTCTACTTTTACGAAAACGTGGTCCTGTGTGTGTCCAATTTTGCGCGGCAATATTTCGATTCGAAACTCTTCGAATGACGCGTTCGTTGCAGACGACGCGGATCGCGTTCGATTAATATTACCAATATTAATACTAATAGTGCTATTAATATTAATATTATTTTTACTTGATTTAGTTACTTGACGAACGTCCACGGTCAAGTTTGCAGCGAACGTAATTATTCTCTTCGTCATATTGTTAGAAAGACAACATGGAAATCGGCGCATAGGTTATGGATGCAATTTTAGACACGCACGTAAGACAAACTTTTTGAAGTTTGTTCAAAGATACTGATGCGAAAGAAAGGCGCAAAGTAAAAACTCGAAATAGAATATTTTATCTGTATACAGGTCATCCCAGCAATGGTGATACAATCGGGTACGTGTTTCTCATGAAAAATATGTAAGTCGAAAGTACAGAATAAAACTCTCGCACATGGCGTCACGTTTTCAAGAAAAATGATTTTGAAATTTCGTCAGATATATATGTTTTAACTGTATACTCCGTTTCTAATCACGAATTTATTTCTTTTTATGGAATTTTTATTAAATAAACGGAGATGTCTAGTTTGGCAAATCGATTACCCACAGTGTCCGCTAATTTTAAAATTGTTTTTCTCGAAAATGAAGCATCATACGAAAATATTTTATTCTATACTTTCGAATTATTTTTTCGCGAAGAATCACTTTTTGCGTATTTGTACTACCATTATTAGGGCATTCTGTGAACTTTGATGATAGAAGTCGGCCGGACAGCTGCAACTTGTTCATCTAGTGTAACGACGATACGAAAATCTGTTCGTCTCAGGCATACCATATACACGTGTATATATGTATATATATGTTGTATATACGTGTTTTTTATGTGTGTTTACGTTGTCCATTCGATTCATTTCGCGAGAATGGTCGACGTTCTTTTGCTTTGGGAATTTAACTTAAACTAATATCGGTATATAATCCGTGACATCGAAATTAATATTTTATTTATTGAGCAAGGGTCTAAAACATTCTTTCTTCTCTTCAACTAGCGAAACTAAGGCTATGACATCCATATAAACGTTTATCGATGCACTGCTTCGAAGATTCACTAGGAAAGCAACCTTCCAGTAGGTGTCCAATTACGGATACCTTTATCAAAAAAACTATAAAATATCAACAAAACAAAAGGAAAAATAAACAATTATATTGTTAAAACTAATCAAAAGACGGCTGTGAAAAATAAATACTGATAAATATTCATACTATCTGCCCAAATCAATCAACGTAACAAAGTGATCAATGCCCAAATCCTTAAAACGAGGTTAGAAAAGCTTTTCATGAAAAGTGACTTCGTCAAAACTTTACTAAATACGAGTTTACGATAAACGTCGGTATGTGCTTAAAAAAAAATATTTCAGCGACGTTCATCGATAACAACATCACAAAAAAGGTATTTAAATATTAAAATTGCATTATGTACTAAACATTGCAATGTTGCAAATCGTCATCGTTCAAAAGGTTTCGTTTAAAAACAAACTTTATTCGTCAAATAAACGTAATAAGGGTGTGCGAAAGCCCGAACTTGGAGATGTGGCAGAAGTTCGGTTCAAATCGGACGACATCAGGAAAAATCTCGAAATTCGATTTGACCTTTCGACATATGTGTGTAGTTTGACTTCGGATTTTCTTGACAAAAATCGTTTGGTTCATGGTTTTCAAACTTTTTAATTCTTAAATTTAGAGATTTAGATAAATCCAAATTCTAAAATTCAAAAATTTAAAGGTTTCAGACATTTTTAATCCAGAAAACTAAATTTTTCAACTTGAAAATTTGTAAATTCTTAAATTTGAAAATTTGGACTGACCCGATCTTGCACGACCTTGTTCGATGTCGCCCGAAGTATCCGTCTTCTCTGAATCTTGAAAGTTCAACATCTCGCACGTACCCATAAAAACATACACAGTAAAAGAAAAAAAGGAAGAATCGAAGAAGGTAAGAGGAAAGTTTGAAACAACGGATGTTTCCGATTAGCATTATCTGCGAAGCGTTCGCCTTCGAAGCAGATGCATTATTACAATTACATAGTTTCAATGACTGGGTTGTTCTATCTAATCGTAGTTACGCCTTACAGCTCTTATAGCCTAATATCATAATTTACCCGCGTTCACGGGTACGGTAGGTACAGTATTATTGACAATCATTAAGACGGATCCTACTATTAAGTATAATTAGGTACATTTTGTGCAAGGTAATCGTTGTGTGACAGAATATAGGACAAGTGGCTACGCACTCAAACGACTGAAGCGTCTTTGTAAAATGATGCCGTACCTCTCCCATGTGTGCACATACGCCTTGCCTCGTTCTCTTTATATCTTCTCTTCTTTTCTTTCTTTTTTTTGTTCTTTTCGATATAATTTGTGTTTAACCACCCTCGAAAGACAAACGAAACAAGAGGATCCGACTCGTCCGGTGTATAAAGTATATAAAGGTTTCTACCACAGCCCATTTAACGATATATCATTCATATATATATAATATATATATTATTGTTATATTATCATATACGTATCATATCGTCGATACAATTCGTAGTGTACATTGAAACGTAACATATATATATCTATATATATATTTATATATAAAAACACTAAGAACGACAGTTAATTTTTCTCTTTTTATCCCCCTCCCTTTCGTGTCCAAATTTTTGTATCTCCCTTCTCTATTTATTCCTGTGTTTTTTACTTTTTTCTTTTTTCGTTCGTTCGTAATTTTTTTCGTCATTTCCGTCCTAACGATTCTCGTTCCCGACATCCTTTCGCGCGTCTATTATTTTATTTAACCGGAAACTGCACGATCGACGCGTATCGCGACAACGATTTAATGCCAAAGATTTCCGTCTAATCACGAACGTGAACATGGCGAATAAGAAAACGTCGTCAGAGCTCCGAAAAAGTTCTCTGCGGTTGTTTGGATTGTCGATTCAGTTTCATTCGAGAATGAAGGGTGCGGTATTGTTTTCGGGTGTCAGAGCGTTGTAAAATCACAGCCTAAAAGCATCGAAGAAGGTTGAACAAACGGGCAACGATACGATTTGCTAATTGTTTTTCCTTTCTTTCTTTTGCCGTTAAACACTTTCTTCGTTTCGACACGCGCAAAGGAATTATACGAGAGAAACAACGACAATTAAATTGTGTCCTTCGCAGCGAAAAGCTTTTTTTTTTATCATTTTTCATTTTTTTTCTTTTCAATTTTGCGAAAGCAAAAAGCGGACGCGTTAATGTCGAAAATTGGTCGCACGTTTCATTATGTTTGTTCTTTTTTTTTTTCGTCGACAATAGTACACTTCAAGCTTCGAGTATACACGATCGATTAAACGATACAATTGACACGTAATAAGGAACACGAAACGAAACTAACTTATCGTACAATAATTGCATTTTTTCGTTCTCTTTTTTTAGAAATACGAAAACGTTCGAACGATGGCCGCACGGTTAAACAATGAGAAAGCTGACGCAAAATTTAACTTAGAGGACACCATTAGTTTATGCATCACACTAAGAGGTTACTAGAAGTTATTTACATCTAGTTTTTTTCACTCATAGATCATTTTAAAATGAAAAGGATAACAGTGGAAATTATAGACATTTAACTAATGTACTTTTTTATTAAAATTTGTAAGGAATAAAGCAACATCTTGATTATAACCACGATTTTGTTTTAATAAATAAAATTGAGAAATGGCGTGTACGCTAATAGTGCCATAAAGAATAAAAAATTGCTGTCAACTTCCCCATTGCGATAATTCAACCAATTGAAGCCTAAATCGTTCGAACGATCAAAGGAACTTTAGTAAATTAGATACCTTTCGATTTGCTGGAACTGGATTAACTGGAGAATGTGTACTATTTATTGTACCATTTTGCTTGTGATTTTCCGTTCCGATCGAGCAAAGAAACTTCGATACTCGAAAGGCGAAGTAAGTGCGATCGGGGATCATCGATTTGGTCTGAAACACGATGGATCCCTAGTATTCCCTTTTTCCCCTTCCGGCAGTATAGTGTAATTAATCTCCCCAAATCGTAGGGACGTTAAAAAACAGTCGCAGAGTGTAACCCAATTATATACATGTATACGTATAGTATGTATAATAAGTAAGCGTAACGAATATCAAAAAATTCATCGCTCGTGGACGACGAAAGTGAAGATCTCTTCTTTCTTTCTTTTTTTTTTGTATCATTTTTGCGGTCAGTGGCACTGTCACAAACAACGCATGTACATGAATACAATATATCCGTAAAAAATTATTTTGTGCAATTCTGAAGGTGCGAGCTACCGTCGTCTTAGAGTCTCTACAGTCTTAAACTGTGTAGTATATACGTGTACTTGTTTATGTGTGTATGTGTGTAAACGTTACGCACACCCGCTCGATGCAGGGTTCACGAAACGCATAAGAAAAAGAAAAATGCACACCGGGACGCGTAGTCACTTACAAATTTGAGCACTGTTTCTTTTGTTTACCTTCTTGTTCGATCGCTTTTATACATCTTTCCTAGAGGTGTATATATATGTACAGAGTGTTTCAGAAATAAGTTATTCTGATCGTTTTAACACTTTGAATGCCATATAACGATCATTACTATAACAGGTAAATAATTTTGCATAGTAGTAAAAGTAATGCGTTATTGGAAATGAAATTAATAATTAAAAGTGTGGCACTCAAAGTGTTAAGAATGAAAAGATATAAGTTTGAGGTTGAAAACACTTCCTTTTTTTGTATATTAACGAAAATAAAATTAATTAAACAGTTATACTGGTCTTTTGATCTACGCTGCAAAGAATGATTCTATTCACCCAGTGATTCTATTTCAATGGTTCTCAAACTTTAATACTTCAGAGACTTTTAAATTGCGCGCCTTCACGACTCTATGGCTGACTTACAATAGCGGCGCGAAATACGTACTTCATTTTTACTGAAACTTGTATCATAATGACCCTACGAAATTATACATGAGACTATTAGCATGGCAATTAAATTCTCGTCAAGTCATTTACTAAAATTTAACAGATGTTAAATGTCACTATTCATTTGCTCAACAAATACAAAAATTCGAAGAAGAGTCACCGCATCATAATAGATCATGTCACAATTTTTGCATTTATCTTCGATAAATTAATACATCAATGCAAAAATTCGTACAAGAAACCTGAGTCATCAATCTTTACGAGCGAAATGTAAAGAACGTGAACTACAAAAAAAAGGAAGTATTCTCGAACTCGCGTTCGTATCTTGTTTTCGTTTCACAGGCAAATCAGTTTGGTCAGCCTATTTCAAAAAACGCTTCGTACATCGTGAGACGTCGTTTGTTTAAAATCTGATACGTATGGACGCAACTTTGAAGCACCACACGAAACAGGAGGATCCTCTACCTAATTGTATCAACCAGACTCTAACTAACTGGACTCATAGATACATTTCGAAGCGAGCTTTATTTACTGATCATGGCGAAGTGCGTTCAACGGGGTCCACTGTATGTACCTTGGCAATATGAGTTCGAGCTGCTCGTGCTTTATAAATTCACGGTTAAATTCCTGGGAGCAATGATAATTAGGTCGTGGACTGTTTTGCCCTCGGTACGTGCATGGCCCGCTGAACTGATAGCACGCGATTCTTTAGCGATATGTTGGCAATCTGATAGAATTAGCGACCGATGTTAGAGCTTTGCACGGTATCTCGGTCGGAAGCCACGAGAGTAAGCGAAATATGGACTAGTGATCAGGTCGAGAGTTCATCTCGTTTAGAAAATTACGCGTACACGAACGATAATTCTCCCTTTTGTTTTTAAAACTCTTATACGAACGATAATTCTCTCTCTTTTCTCTATACCATTAACCTAACACCTAGAACGACTAAGCTTGATACATTAAGTCCTCTTACGAGCGGCTGCTCCATTTCCCAAAGCTACAAGTTTCCAACGAAGACGAGAAAAAAATAAAGCAGAAGAATCGAAGAGAGCTCAATACTAAAGGACCCTATGGAAACTCCATTGGAATTCGAGTTTTTCTTTCCCTCGTTTCCCATCTTTGATTCGTCGCGACGATGTCCTATAAAGTCAGTAACGAAACTTTGATCGCTACTTGAAGAACGACGCAACGAGCTACGGGTTCGAATTATGTCCTCAATCAAATTTACTAACCGACAACCAGAAAACGGCAACAGGAATCCAAAATGGTGATCGTAGTCGATCCGTTTGGATTCGAATCACGCCTCGACGAGCTGAACTCTTTCCATCCTACGTTTAATAATTATTGTAACGCGATCGTTGTATAGTATTTGGTATTTAATGGTCCGCGAACCAAGTATTCCCCTCGCGACGTCGATGTTTATTTAGATTTTTTTTTATTTTTGTTAAATTTATTATTTTATTATTATTATTATCATTATTGTTTACTTCTGTTCGTCGTAATATCCGACCATCGTTGACCCGTTACCCTGAATTAGCAGAGCGTGTACTTTCGAAAGTAACGTAAAACGATTGTCTTCGTACGAACGAATTCAAATGACGAGAGATCTCGATAATTTGTTGCAACCATGTCCTCCAATTAACTATCCTGTCAAACAAAATGAAATATTGAAACAAGAGAAAATAACGGATAACAAAGCGAAGAATATTGGTCAGTTTATTTGCATCTCCGTTCTGTTTTTTCCTTCAGAAGTTAAATGAGGGAGCGTGGAACCTTTGGAACATCAATTTCATCCAAATTTACGGTAATTGCCGCAGCTTCA